CAGAGTATCTTTCTATTGATAATAAGCATATCATTTGCTCTAAAAGTATTATTTAAATGTTTTAATAATCATGTTTGCCCTTTTTAGACACATCATTTAAGTGAAACATGTGCTTTTAAAATGAATTATCTTTTATATCTGACACGTATCTATGAAATCTAAGAATGATCTTTGTAACAGATAAGCTTACATATAAAAAAATAACAGCACTTTTCTGGTTTCCAAATCTGAGGTTAAAACATACCAGGTCTTGTCTAATAGTAACGTTTTATTTGTTTTCTTCTTAACCCATTACCAGATATATACGACTTTCTACGCCTTTTTCACCCCTCCCCCTTTTGCTTTCTCAAATGGTGAAACAATGCCTTATTTAGGCCCCCAACATTTGTTTTTTGTTTGAGAAATGTTGTTTAAAAAAGTGACCACTTTTTCGGCGCCGTCCCCCATCCAAAAGATACATCAGGGGGTTGCCAGTTTGGAGGTTTGAAGGGGGGCGGTAGTCCCCCCTCATCGCCAAGAAAATTTTGGACTTATGAGAGGCTAAAAATGACCCCAGGTCGATCATAAGGTAACGTGTAACCAACGCTGAAAAGGCTTTGACTCTATCTCAATCCATTGAGAAGTGGCAGCACTTTGAAATCAACTTTGATGGAAAAAATCAACGCAAAATAGTGATTTTTGGCAATTTTGAGATGTCCCCTAGTTGCCATGGTAACAGGAAATTTAAGACTGAGCATCAACATTTGTGCCAAGTTTGATTAGTATTGAAGCAGTTTTTATAGTTTTATAGCAACTTGAACTTGTAACTGGAGACTTTTCAATGAAAACAGCCATTTTTCGCAAAATGCTCATGCGGTAATGGGTTAAATCAGTCTAACATGGGCAAATTAGAATGAAATGATATTCGTCTTCTACATCATATAAATTACAATACAAATAATACCTTTTACTCTCACAAGATTCGTGTACCTACCAGCGTGTATATACTAGTACGCTATGGAAAGATAATTTTATAAGATAGGTAATGTCTTTAATAATATTGAAATTATGAACTGAAAGCATGCGAATTACTTATCACCTGAAGAAAATAGTGCTGAATGTGAAATTATTTATGATAAAGATGGCAAAATGTAAACAAAGCAATATTTTGGCTTTAATACCAAAATACTTAATCACTATAACTGTTAAGATGGCCAAATCGAAAACGAAGTAAAATATAGTTAAGCTTTATTGCTAATGATTTACCATTTTGAAAACTTTTACAGGGTATAAAGAAAAAGGCTTTTGAATATCAAAAAATCAGTTTATGACTTAATGAGCCTTTAAGAACAAGTTATCTGGCCCAAGCAATTTGATAATTTAGATATACAAAGGATAGAAAGATAACGTGTACGTTCACTATATCTAGCAGATATGCTTACACCTTCCTCTTTCAAATTCATAAATTTACACTGTTCAATGTAATAATATTTTTTTTTTTGAAAAATTCTGTGTTACACTAGATACGTGAGTCATTTGAAATTTTTGTAAAGACTTGACGCTAATATGGAAAAAAGAAGATTTAAAAAAGCTAAAAGCAGCGAACGCAGTGTCTTTAAAACAAGGCAGGACTATAGTAAAAAAGTTCACTGGCTCAGCTTCTTAGCAGTGAACCGTATTTTATAGTCAGATAGAGCCCGTTTTGTCAAATGTCCGGTGTTCCCTAAATATATCACGAAAAGTAAAAATATGTGAAGGGGAATTGGGCATGAATCAATTAAATGCAAGTACATGATTGTATAATAAATTCGCTTTTCCACGTTTTGTTGATAAACATTAGCTTAATATTTTACTTTTATTCACAGTCTTGAACAAATTTTAAAATCAAGTGTACTCCCTCCCACAGCACAATAATTCCTTTCATTTTTTAGATTTTTCGCATGAGCGATGAATAACTCACATGGCCGTAGAAAATTTCTCTGAACATCCATTGGAATTTACCTGTAACGTTCACTTTACAAAAAGAGTGGGCTAGTCTTTATATTTGAGGCAGATTTCTATTTCATTCTACATCAACTGTTGGTCAATCACCATAATAAAAGTCAATCTTTTCAAATATACTAGGACGAAAAAGAAACGCCGGGTAACCTATAATGATTGTTTTAAGGGATAAATTGTATTATTGGATTATTATATTCATTTTTGTATGAAATGTCATCTGTATGGAACCAGCTGTTGAAGTTTCAATCGATTTCCGATGCTGATTATGTGAAAAAATACCCCCTTTTAACGATGACCCTTCTTGTTTTGCGAAACACGGCCGGACATATCAGTATCTTGTGTGTCCTCCATGCGCAGCTGTGGCAGCCCTGATCCGTCTATGCATGGAATTCACCAGGGTGTTAATCATGGCCATGGGGATGTTATTCCATTCTTCATGCAAGGCATGTGTGAGCTGGACATGATTAGTGGGGACATTTGGACGACTCCTTACCCTCCTATCCAGTTCGTCCCACAAATGTTCAATTGGGGACAAATCTGGACTGAATGCTTGCCAATCGAGTGGGTGTATGTTACTGTTGGCAAGAAATTGCTGGCAAACTCTGGCGACATGGGGCATTATATAAATCTGACCGATTTTCATTATTTTAGGCCAAGCAATAAAATATGTGTTGCATATTTTATGTACCCGGCGTTTCTTTTTCGTCCTAGTATATATAGTCATGTCCGCTCAACAAGAAAATGGGAAAAAATACAGGAACGGTCAGCGATCACATGTGTCGCCTCATATTCAACCTATAAACCTGTGTAAATGCAGCTATCGTTCAATCCTGTAAAGTTTCAATAAAATTGCATTAGTGGTATAACAGGAGTAGTACAGACAATTTTCAAAATTAAAATCATCAAAAGGGCCAAAACTGAATCAAACCAATGAACAGAAAAATGTTGATAAGCTGCACAACAAGACATGGTATTGAACGTATTGATAAAATTGCACCAGTAGTTTCTGAGGAGTAGTCCAGTCAAATTTCTGTGTTGCTGGCAACACCAAAAACGCCCTTTTCATTCAAGGGCTATAACTGGGCCAACAATCATTCAAGCGGAAAAACCATGTAATATGCTCAGGTACTTGGCCTACCAATCAATCCTGTAAAGTTTCATTGAAATTGCATCAGTGGTATAAGAGGAGTATTCCGGACAATGTTTAAAATAATAAAAAAATAATTAAAGGGCTATAACTCCGTAACTCCGACAATATTGAACCATAAAAAGCCGATAATATGCACAACAAGACTTGGTACTGATCATTCCTGTAAAGTTATGATGAAATTGCACCAGAAGTTTTTGAGAAATGGTCTGGCTAATTTGGCAATACACAAAAACACATTTTTCATTCTCATTCAAGGGCCATAACTCGGCCAAAATCATTCAACCGGAAAACCCGTGCAATATGCGCAAGCATTGAAATTGCATTAAAGGTAAAAGAGGAGTAGTCCGGACAAACTTTAAAAATAAAAATCATAAAAGAGCCATAACTCTGGCAAAAATCATTAAACCGGAAAATGCTGACGACATGAGCAACTAGACTTGGCACTGATCATTTCTGTAATGTTTGAATGAGATTGCACCAGAGTAGTCCGGACAAGTTTTGTGACGGAGGGACAGACGGACAGACAGATGACGGAGAAGTGTTTCATCTACTCCGTAGAGGCAACAAAAAAGGTCTACTTGAAGTAAACGTCATAAAATGTGAGGCAATGAAGGGGCAGGGGTCATCCTTTTGCTTTTGAAATTATTTGTCCCTAAACGTGAGGTAAAATGACCTTAAAGAGTGACTTGAAGATGGCCTTAAAGCGTTAAAAACTCACTTTCAGGGGCAAATAACTAAAAAAGAAGGTAGATGACTCCGGATTTTTTTTATAAATTTGTTTCAATTCATAATTTCCTTTAATCATGAATAATTTAAGAAAAAATCCAGTAGTTTAAAATTTCCTTGTATGCCTTTGTAAATAAAATTGTAGTAGTGTAGCGACTTTGTGAATTTTAATCGGCTAGTGACTGAAGAAAAGAAACATTATCAAATGTACAAAAGTTGCGAAATTTTGCAAGTGTATATGAAGAAGGCCGCTGAAGTTATACAGTGAAAATATTTTAAAAATAGACCAAAGATTGAAATGAAGTAAACTGAAAATTTACAATCAGACCCATATAATCATGTACTCATAAATAATCAGATCAAAACACTTCCGAAAAGAAAGTGTTGTGCGGATATTTGATAAGGATTTGCGACCTATTTTTTTCAACTATTTGTTGGACGGTGTTGGTTTTTTCCCTTCGCTTTCTTTTTTATTGTTGTTGTTAATTAGTAAGTTTAGTTAGTGAGTAAGTTTGTTACTTGATTAGTTAGTTAGTTAGTTAGTTAGTTAGTTAGTTAGTTAGTTAGATAGTTAGTTAGTTAGTTAGATAGTTAGTTAGTTAGTTAGTTAGTTAGTTAGTTAGTTAGTTAGTTAGTTAGTTAGTTAGTTAGTTAGTTAGTTAGTTAGTTAGTTCTTAGTTTAAAAAAGAAGGAAATCCCATAAGGTTTATGTGGTAATTTTACTGGTTAATATTTGCCCGAACTTCCGGACGTACGTCCGTCGGTCGGTCGGTCGGTCTGTTTGCTTGCTTGTTCTTTTTTCATGTCTCGAAGGAGAATGTCTCGAAGGAGATATGCTCTTTCAGGAGTTTCTTGATTGATATCACTTTACATTTTATGCTGTTTTCATTATATTTGATATTGGACATTTGTTATACTCGACGAAACATGTACTTATTATAAGAAATGTTGAAAATAAAGTACGATTTAACTTAGTAATAACGTTGATATTTTCAGGTCAACATTCCCGGTAAATACGTAATTTACATGCATACGACTGACGTAGATTTTAACTGTCATATATCATATCACTGTATAAATCAACATCACACAAAATACGCGGAACTGATGTAAATAATACGGTCCAGTGACGCTGCCCGAGGGGTAGGGATATATCGTACAGGCATGATTCATGTCTTGATAACAGCAATTTGTATGTATCTAAGCTTTCAAATATGTGCACCGGATTTACAAGGTTTAAAACAGTTTAAAATCATTCATAGGTACGTGTATCTTCATTAGTAATTACTACTAACGGGTTTTTCTTTTTGGTCTTACGCTAAACTGTCATGGTTTTGTGAGTGGGCTGATAGCTTATCAACGAAACAAAAACTTGAATTTTGTTGTATTTCTTGCTTACTTAATATCATCTCTAAATTAATGATATCTACATATACTTATTAACGCCGAGTGTGTATTTTTTAAACGTCCGCTGCACGCTCGCATCAATAGCTTAGTTAGGACGAGAGCTTTAGAATTCCTAAGTTCGAGTATTATGCGAGGCGCATAACTTGTCTTATGCCCCGGTCACATATTCACGGATAATGCCACGGAAGAGCTACGGTCTAATCTTTCACGGATTACTACGGAAATGTGAAATTTCGTAGTCCGCTACGGTTCCAGTACGGACACACAACGGTACGAGTACGGAGTCCGACGGATTTACCACCAAAAGCCCCCGGAGAGACACGGATTGTTACGAACCGACACGGTTTGATACGGAGAGACACGAATCAGGACGGACGCACTACGGATACACTACGGTCTGCTACGGTATAAGCACGGATTAGTACGAATAAGTACGGTCTGATACGGAGAAGAAACGTATTGATACGGAGAAGAACGAATTGCCACGGATCTATACGGACCTAATACATCCGTCCACAACCTCTTGCTTGCTCATTTTCAAAATGCCTCAAAAGAAAAGAACACCTAGAAAACGAATTGCAGAGTTCAATGATTTTGGCGGAGAGGACTCGGCCTAATCGCGTCCGACCCCCGAGACACATCAGGTCCAATTAAAGTGAATTTCTTGAAGGACGCTGGATCCTCAACAAGTTCGACCATGAAAGCCTCATACTTAACTTGAAGCGGTCTTCGTAAAAGCCCATCTCTAGTCCACCATCTCGTCTGTCTTCTCTTATTTGATTAGATATGGACTAGTAATCATTAATGAAAAATGTTGATCAATACTGCTTCTCTTTTTAATTTTAAGATTTTGCTGCTCATCTTACAATTACATTAATTATCGTGATGTTTATGTTTTAAAAAAATATGTAAAAAGCTTGTTAATTAATTTTATTTATCACTCAAGGGCCAGCCTACGAGGCTTATGAGACACTTCGTTTTATGTACATATTTACTCCAATTTCACGATCCAATGTTTGTAAAATATGTAACATTAAATGTTATTCTATTACTTATGAATTGTAGTACGAATATTAATATAAATTTACTTCTATGTACGTCATCAAGCAGCTCGACCACTGCCTCCGCATTCTGAGCCATTTTCAATATAAAGTTGCAGCCAGTAAATGGCAATTATCATTTATTAAATGTTTCCTCAAATATGTCTGTTTTTAACAAGAAGGTAGTATTTATACCTTGAAAAAGTACATGATACTTAATTCATCCGTACTAAACAGTGGTGGACCGTACCATTCCGTACCGTTTCGTGTTGCAACGCAATAAACCGTATAAGACCGTGCTAATCCTTGCCTCTCCGTAGTACAACGTATTACGATCGTGGCTTTCCGTGACAATGCCGTATTAATTCGTATTAAAACCGTAGCTTATACGTAGAGTAACCGTACAAATACGTAGTTCTTCGTACAAAACCGTGGAAATCCTTGACGAGTTGGTGGACTACGAATCAGTACGGACTAGTACGGTTTTCGTACGGACCAGTACGTATGATTACGGATTAATACGGACTAGTAGGGATACGCTACGGTTGATTTTTCCGTAGCAAATTTTTGTGCATGTTCAAAAATTGTCAAGGATCGCTACGGATATACAAGAACTACTACGATTGATTACGGTTACAATACGGAGAGCTACTGACCAGTACGGGTAGCTACGGACGATGCCGGAATTAATCCGTGGCTCTTCCGTGGGCGTATTCCGTGAATATGTGACCGGGGTATAAAGTAAAGATTTGGTTTTACAGCAGTTTCAGTAAAAATAATTTTTCAAATTAGTTATGTGAAAGAAGTTGACATTTTCTGGTTAGAAAACTGTATAGATCGAGTCCATGAATACTAGTAAGTGGTAACATATAACTAATGACAGATTATATTATTAGATATAAAGAGTTTGACAGGTTATATAACCCTATATAAACGGTGATATTCAGATACAACACGAGCTATTAGCAGATGGTTATATTGCAAATCGTTCAAAAATGGCAAAATAACATAATAATTGTGCAATTAAAACATGCAAAATACATAATTATATTGAATAAAATAAATCTGATAAGCCTAGCGAGGGAATTTATTTTGGAACTGCAGAGCAAGATTATAGTTTACTCCAAAACATATAATACGGATAGCTCTGGTGGTTTACTGCAGCAAAAGGCATTATGTACCAAGTAAAGAAAGTATAAATAAAGTTCCTTACTACGATTATTGTTTCTGAAAGCTAAAGGTGACACCTTTGTATAAATATATATACAAATACGTTTGATTAAGACGTAAAATCAGTTTGGTAACAAACAAAAAAAGCAAAAAAAAAATCCTAATGTGTCTATAATTATAAAGATTCACCTTGGTTATAAATGCACGCATTAGGCAGTTAAATGCGAAATGCTGTAAGTTAACCGAAAAAAAGGGAAAAATAACATATGTATGTTCACGAAAAATACATAAATTATCATCATGCAGAGGTCAACAGGATGACTGCCCTGGTCACTTTACGTTGCGGTCAGTTGTCAAAATAGCACTTATAACATGTGATGACAACCCTTAGGGTGATATGTCTATACGTGTAATAACCGACTAATTAATTTACTAATTGGCAAATTATGCAGTTTTTAGTATGTCTGTTATTACACTGTCGTTTCTTATTTTTATTTCGGTATAAAGTTGATGTATTTTTTATCCTGCGTAAAAAACGCTTTAGTATATCGCAAGATGAATATTTATCAATAATTTGTAACTATAATTCTGTGAAACAGAAATATTTGTTTTGTATAAACTTAAATACAATGCAACAAGCAATCATATAGTATTGAACAACGATAGCAATTTTACTTAAATTCGAACAAATATTGGCGTCAATATTAACATTGTGTTATAAGAGAGACAACATATGAAATATGTTCAATATTTTCACCATGATAAATGAGATATGTATGTAACGGAGATCTGCAATATGGCATAGCTTTCAAATAATGCATTAGATTAACAATCATCTTTTTTATTTCAGTTCTTCTTTCCAATGAAGACGGGTTATGAAAATGGCTTCCAGATTCATAAGCGATTTTCATGATGATCAATATGGTGAAAATATCCGTGATGGCATCGCAAGTCGGGGAATATCTCTTCTTCGAGCACCGGTTAGGCAAGATGATTTTAAAACATATTTAGATAACCAACCAGAATTGCTGGAACATGACGGTTTGTCCACCACCCACTATGTAAATAAGCGAAATATAAAGCCATGGGTGGATCAATTCCATCCGGAAGCTAGGCATCCAGAAGCTAGGAACCAGCTTTTGAACACGCAGTTTTATGATACTTTAGAGGCATATCACGGGAACCATATTCATATAAATCGTGATGATATATTCACTCGTTCTTTTTCTCAACCAGACGATAGGTCAGACGAGTTTATAAATGAGCGCGCTTTGTTAGAGAGGAGTTTAGCTTTAAACCGATCTTTTTCACAACCTCAGCGCCGTGAGGATATAAATAAAGCTATCCACGAGGAATTAATGAACAATCCATGGGGAACATACAGACGGACGCCGAAAAAACGTGACCGATATGCTATATATATCCCCGACACGGAATATAGTGAAGAACAGTTTGAAAGTGATGTATATAAAAGCAACATTGAATTGAGAATAAAAGCCCGTAGAGAATCTGATGATTGGGATAAAAATTATTGCACCGATAGTGTATATGCAACGTACCGACGCGCACCACGCACGTTTCCTCGACTTGACGTTGCGGTTGACCGACATGACAAAGCGGCAAGAGATACACATTACCACGGAGGAGTGACACGTGATACCAGGCGTGATGGACTAGTATTATCTAACCTGTCAAAAATACCTAATGATGCTATTCATTCTATGAATAATTCACTGGTGACCAGAAATAATGCGCGTGAAGCACTGGACAAACAAGACAGTGTACAACACCTATTTCCCGTCCAACTTAACGATGTTAAACTTGTGAATAAATCTCAAAATGAAACATGTGATGATAAAATAAATCAGACTGGAATTTTGAATAAAAGGATAAAAAATAACTTGTCAGATGACAAAGGTATAAATGGATTTCTAAAAAGAAAATGCCGCGGTAGTCGTAACAGTATGGCGACAGATTCAAGTAAAAAGGACGACGAGAAGAAGCCGTTCTTCTACTGCAGATGGGTCACAGAATTCCCAAAGACGTTATTTTGTAAGTATAGCTTCTAACAACTATTTAATCTGGCGAAATGAAATGATTTTTTGATACTGTCATCATCTGAGAGGCAGTCATGTGAACTTTTATGCAATAAGTCATTTTATATCCCATTTATGTTTTGTTTTTTTTAAATTCAGTGTATCTTAAATGGACATGAAATTTGAAAACAGTAACATACAAATGAACAATTCTGAACTCATTATTTTAGTAAATCGAAACTCTCGCTGTATTTAATGTATGCTGTATAAATGTGTTATGACGAGGATGTTATATTCATGTCATATTGTATAATAAAAATCAGCTCTGTTTTATTATTTCTAGCTTTTACTCGGAAAACGTTTTTTTTTTCTTCTTCAGATTAATTTGCTAACGTTTTGTTAGCAAATTTTGCAATAATAATTCTACAAGCCCATCTTTCTCTGTAGAAAATACTTTTGAATAAATAAATGTTTTGATGCTGATATACTTCATGTCAAAGTTCAAATGTTATAAACATTATCGCCAACTATCCTACACAACTCTAAAATTATGGATATTAAAGTCGGAAATTTACACATATATTTGTCATTAATAAAATTTGTCCAGACTGAATTTTGTATTACACGCGATGTCATTCACGTCCGTAAATATTTAATTGATAACACATACCGATTTCATCATACATTATAACACTTATCTAGATGATATATTTAACAAATTACAGTTCATTAATAATCTAACATCGACATCAGACATATTCATAATGAATATACGAATCTGCACTAAAACATTATCCCCCGCATACGAACCGTTACAAATAAAATGTTATCAAACGTCTTTGGTATAGATGGTTTACACCAAAAAATGTTGTAATTTAAGACCGTCTTGTCTTGCACATCGCCACTGTATGCCATATCGTAGAGATAGGTGCAGATCTGGGTGCTCCTCTATGCATTTTTTTTTTACTTAAGTCTTCTTTGAGTTAATTGAAAACACTGAATATGAAGCTCATTTTGTTTCAAAATTATTTAATAATAATTTATTATCATAAAATAACTAACTCATTTATATTCATTTTCAGTACTGACGCTTGGTGGACACATTCTCATTGCCCTGGTTACTGTTGTGCTGTTGTTTTCTAGTTATGACCTCTTTCCAACCGAGTTCGAGTTTCTGCCAATGTACGACCTGAAGGTTCCCTGGCTAAAACGAGATTTTGCCTGGAGGTTCCGTCATGAATACAAAGGAAGGTACATCCGTAAATGGTATATACAGGTCAGTAATGTTACCATGATTTGTAATTAGCAAAACATTCATAGTATCAGTAATTACAGATATGTTTACATTTTTTGTACATTTTGAACATGCTTTGTCACTTAATTATATACAAATTTTGTTTTGCCGATTTTAGGATATAGCATTGAAAAAAGTGTTTCCGGTAAACAACCATATAAGTAAATAAAGTAATGGTCCGTTCGAGTTAAACACAATTCTAAGTCAAACAGACGCCGCGGGATGGACCACAAACTGAAAATTGTCATGTACACAAATATCTAACCCGTTGCTTTAATTATATATTTCAAATCTAAACGATACAATTAAACTTTTAGCTGCTGATTTGTTGATTCATTTCAATGATCACAAGAATGTTTAAATCATTTTAGTCACAATTAAGGACTGCGATTATTTATGACACCATATCATTTTTACTCTTTAGGGACTCAATAAATGGTACAGATCTATGGCATACGACAGGGCCAACATTGTTATATATTACGACACAGGAGGTGGGAATATATTCACCAAAGAAAATCTTAAACGTATGGAAGCCGTAGAGCATGAGCTAGCAAATATGCGAAATTATAGTGACTTTTGCGAACAATCTATATTATTGAAGTGTAAAAAACTTACCTCAGTTTTACGTTACTTTGACGGGAAATTCGTGATATAGATCCTTTTTCAAAACACTATTACAATAAAAATTGCCGAATTTTAAAAGCAAAAAAAATAAGCACAAAAAAATGATTTGCCTATTTTCCCAACCAAATTACACGTGACTAAAACCCCTGCTTCCGCAGAAAGAAAGAGACTCTTATTCCCAAAGGGTTTTCCCTTTTAAAATTTGGACAAACACGTGAGGCGATGGAAGTTTAAATGGGAAAGGGTTTCTGCCACTCATTTTTAAACCAACGATTTAAAAATACAGGAAAGTACACAAACTAGAGTTAAATTTCTGGGGTTTTTTTTTTTTAAACTGATATAGTATCAAATTTTTTTTCGAAGCCTTTGCTGTTGGGAAATATTCTTCAATTTTTTCTTTTCTCCACACAAGTCAAAGTGGATTTCTACGTTTGCAGTGGCAAGTATTCTGACTAGTTTCCTATGCACAAATATCATTTACCGAGTGGTCTTAGACTTCAGATATTTCGGGTTCTTTCACGTGATCACCTTGTTTATAATTCTTGGAATTGGGGCAGACGACTTATTTGTTTTCTTAGACGTTTGGAAGAGTACAGAATTTGAATCTTATCCTAGTTTAGCTCATCGATTATCATCGGCTTATAAAAGATCTATGAAGAGTATGTTCTTTACATCGTTAACAACTACTGTAGCATTTTTCGTGAGCGCCTTTTCACCTTTACTGGCAACAAAATCTTTTGGAGTATTCGCTGGATTATTAGTGATAGTGAATTACATTTCAGTAGTTGTTTACTTTCCTACAGTCGTAATACTGCATCATCTCTATTTCAAAACATGGGAATGGCCTTGCATATCGTATATTTCAAGAAGAATAACTGATTTCAAAAGTGTTAAGTTTGAAAGAAAGGAAAATACACTTAAAGAAAATAAGCCACCGACTAATACTATTCAAACCATATTTGATGACAACAGTGTTATCGGTAGTGCAGGTAATCGGTATAACGTCGTTGGAATGACAAATGCCGCCTTTAATGCCGATATAGAGGACGATTATGGATTTATTAAGTTCACAACTAAAAGTAGTATTGGTCCTAACCCAACTGTTAATAAAGAGACTGCAGTTAAAAGAGACTCGGTAGATTCTGGTGTTACGTCAACAACTAGTTGGCATACAACGGATGGACAGAAACAGAAGAAACTGTTAGTGCGATTTTTCAGGGATTATTACTTTAAGTTCGTAACACATTGGTTGATAAAATGGATTATTTTGGTAGTTCTGTCAACACTTGTGGTCTTCTTTATGTACTGTATATCAACGATAGAGACGGATAATGAACCGGTATGTCATTTTATGATTTTATGTTTTAATAGAATTGATTAGAATGCTTTGTCGTAAGTGATACGATTTTTTATTGAAAACATGCGTGCAGATATTTTTTAAAATAACATAGATCTAAATATGAAAAAAAGATAATCGAAATAAGGAAATAAAATTTGAATATAATATTTTGATTTTTTTATGTAAATAATTCAATATTTGAAAAATTCAATTTGATTTCAAGCTGACATACTTAAGTTTTATTTAAACTTTTTTTATCAAATGCGGTCACTGCCGTTGAAATAACAACTCTGGTGGTATATGTGATTGTTTGTTCTAAAGACAAACGTTTTCTTTTTTGTAGGCTCAGTTTTATCGGAATTCTCACAACTATGGCAAAGCTCTGGATCTTGATTTTCATGGTTTTGTTGCTAATAAAAACGACAGGAATGTGGTAGTTTATATTGTATGGGGTCTGAAGGAACGGGACATGTCTGCGTGCCATTTCTCAGATGCTAGGTGCATAGGGGTGGAGAGGTTTGACGACTCCTTCAATCCAAACTCACAAGAGGCTCAACTAGCCATTCAGGTATGATATACTGATAAATATTTCGTTTAATTGAAATTGTAAAGAAGACCGAACCGGCAACATTTTTAATTTTGACATTTTTGATGAAATTTAACGAATCCATTTTCGCTATTTTATTAGAAATTGATGAGATGAACTTTTATTCTGCACTGTACAAAAATGATGTGGACATCGGATAAAATTAAAAACTATGTCGCAGTATTTTGATACACATTATTATTATTATTAGACATTATAAGATAATACACCCCTTTCTTTATTATTGATGACAATACATAATGTACATATACATGCTATTTTTTAAATATTTTCTATCACTTTTATGGCCATTAAATCCTGAAAAAACAATTAAGATTAAACTTCTCTATGGTGGTTAAGATATGCCATTATTTAAAAATTTAGAATTTCTTAACATCTTCGGACGGTATAACCCTTCTGTATTTTTTATCTATTCATGGGTAATAATTCACAAAACACCAAAAGATTGGAAAACTCGCACTATGTATTTTCCCATTGCGGTTAACACGTGCAACGCATTTTATTTTAAAAATCCAAACCATTTCCAAGTTTGTTGCTCAGGACAATCGACTATGTGATGTTACTGCTTCGAAACTATATCCCTCCGTCATTTCGTCAATATTTTTAAAATAAGGGTCCACGACATCTTTCATTTGAATTTTCTTTTAAAGCAAAAGAGACCCCAATATCTTCTACTTAATGTTGGTCCCCATTTCAAAGACAGGGCGTAGTCAAGGACAAAATGAAATTTTCTTAATGTACAGAATTATTAATTGCAGTTTCCTGGTTTCGTTTCTTGTATAGCAACACTGAAAATTTGCTTTGTCATTCTCCCATTTTCTCATAGCTTCCGCTGAATGAATAAATGAAAAATCAAGATTTGTTTATGATAAATCAATATTTGTTTGTCTTATTGGTATAAATTTCCCTATTTAAGTTTGAGCAATCTTTTATATAAATGCATGCGTGATCATTCATTAAAGGACAATAGTTTCCCTTTATAATTTCAAAAATTGTATTACTATAAACAGAAATTTTATTTTATTACGATGTTTGTAAATATGTGGGAGTTAACCATTATAAACACTGTCGATTGCATTCGATTTCGTACGTTATTGTGTGGAATAAGTGAAAATATTTGAGCCGCGTCATGACAAAACCAACATAATGGGTTTGCGACCAGCATGAATTCAGACCAGCCTGCGCATCCGCGCAGTCTGATCAGGATCCATGCTGTTCGCTATCAGTTTCTCTACTTGTAGCGAACAGCATGGATCCTGATCAGACTGCGCGGATGCGCAGGCTGGTCTGGATCCATGCTGGTCGCAAACCCACTATGTTGGTTTTGTCGTGACGCGGCTCAAACATTTATCGATATACATTGTATCTATCTTTAAAAGCGTTTCTGAAAGATTATATATTTGGTTTCATAATTATTAGTTGAACTAAATAAATAATAGTTTCATTTGAGAGAGTATGACGTAAAATACAAGTTAATGTCATTTGATTCATTTAAAGCACCTGCTCGAAACTCTGATATCCAACTCGTGGGAGAGCGAGGCATTGCGGAGAAAAGTGAAATGGGGGAATATGCAATAGCTTTAAAAACACGGGATATTGGGCATTTGGTGCGAATTTAGCCCTCTGACTGTCACCGCAAATTGAGGACTTTCCGAGGAATTTGTTGATTTCAAAGTCAAAATCCCCGATATTTTTCTGGGATATTAGAGTCGGTTTTACAAAAGGTGCATTACTAGAGAAGACATAGCAAAATGTGTCTTTGTGTGCATTAGCTGAGACACGGAAATACGGATAGGGGTTGACCTTATAAAAACATTTAAACTTCCTTGCCTACGTAAGTTGAATAATTTCATATAAGAACATAAATTTTCACGTTCGAGGATCCGAGGTGCATATGATTAGAAATTGATTATGCCTAGTTTTTGAAAAATTTGAATCCAGAAAAAGAATTTCAGTTTCACAGGTAACTGATCTTCGTTACACTAAATTTAATTGTGTTTATACATTTTGTATCTTTACAGAACTTCTGTAAGAAGCTGCATAGCTTTGATAACCTTGACATTGAGCATTTTAAGATTCGGCGTGACTTTTCAACTGGCAAACCGGAAATCAAATGTTTTGCAACTGATATGGACCGCTGGTTTCAGGTATTGTGTCTTACTGAAAGGGACTCACTCCACTGAGGGTTTTTTTTCTAATGACATGACCGGACTGAAATTTTGTTTTCGAGATTACTATTCCATTAGATGTAGTTCTTGACCATAAACTTGTGTTCTTTCGCTCCTCTATTTTTCCAGATTAATTATTTAATTGTGGAAAATGACCCAAAATTGAAAAGCGCTGCAACGCTTTTCACTCCAGTCGGACTAAGAATGGACAAAAATACGATTTTAATTTATTTCTTTTTATATATTTTAATTATCTTTTGTGTATTTTTCTGTTTTGAGTGTCCCTGCCGATCTAAGTAAGAAATTCAAATTTTATGTTTTTAGGCTTTTGGACCTCAGTGGAGCTTCTTTAACTGTATTCACAATTCTATGTTATTGCATTAATCTATGTTTTGAAAATACACGATAAATTCATCTACCAAATATATTAAATACTTCATTTCGACAAAATGCAAAATGCAAATTTAATTTCATACACGCGTATTCAAGTCTTAAGATATCTGGAAATTGTATTGTCACAAAGTAAAACATATTGGCATTGCCGTAACATTTATGACGTATTTGCCAGCAATTATCAATTATTACAAACATATAAATGAAAGGCTGTCATATATTCAACTTCATGTTAAGATTATAAACATATTTTTGCAATCTCAAACAATTATGAATTTCCAGATCTACTAAAAATAATCGGGAGACTGTTCGTAGTGGCGCACCCACCTCGCATCATAACATGCGTTATATGAGCCGCGTCACGACAAAACCAACGTAATGCGTTTGCGACCAGCATGGATCCAGACCAACCTGCGCATCCGCGCAGTCTGATCAGGATCCATGCTGTTCGCTATCAGTTTCTCTACTTGTAATAGGGTTTGTAAGCGAACAGCATGGATCCTGATCAGACTGCGCGGATGCGCAGGCTGGTCTGGATCCATGCTGGTCGCAAACCCATTATGTTGGTTTTGTCGTGACGCGGCTCATATAAAATTTCCATTCTTGTATAATATTATAGCTCTTAATTATCAAGTTTTCATGATTATATTGAAAACATATTTTATGTTACAAAGAAAACATATTTTATATAAAACACTTTAATGTTACAAAGAAAACATAATTTATGTAACAAAGAAAACATACTTTGCGTAACAAAGAAAACATATTCTATGTAAGCATTTCAATCATTACAGAAAGAGGGCGTGCAAACAGGAGAAAATTTGACGTTACCATGGAACTACCGGAAGGCGATCACGTTTATGCAGTCTAGAAATCTTATGTACAACACCGTTAAATTTAATGAAACTTTTCCAAACGTATACGAGGTTTGTAACATATTTTTTGCAGTTTTTCTGATGCTCAAATTTAAGTTAATACCACATCCAATTGTATTCGCGTCTTTTCTTCTAATTTGGCCGCGAAAGCAATTTCTTCCTGGAGTACGTTAAATTTATCTTTATTCAGTTTTTTTTCGTGTAAGAAAAGAAAAAAAACAAACAACAACAAATTACAGAAAAGGCAAAAACTCTGTAGTATCTTACCCATCATTACTGTTATTTTTATATACTTTTGCATCTATATATTATACTTAAGTTCTTTATGTTTCCAAAGATTTTATTACAAGTTATATCAGATGTGTCTAAAAATAGGCAACTAGCTAATACAATGTATAATGAAGCAAACCCATATTGCCTATATCAAAACTTGTATTTTACGAATTGGGGGATACTGGCTATGTTTAATGAATACTTTTCATCGGTTATAGTAAATGAACCTTTGTTTATGCTCTTTCAGATCCCGGTCTCATACTGGTTGAACGATGGTTACCGGTTTAAAGACAGAGAAACATTTGATAAATTTCAGAGTCTTATTGGAGAAGCAACAAGTTATTATTCTACGCCTTTAAAAACAGATTTCAGTAAGAATTTTAGAAATTTTAACTTTTCAGTAAAGATCCGAGAGTACGACCATAGTTTTTCTGTGACAGGAATTAGAAAAAAAGAGTGCTCCCTCGGAAGTATTAAAAACCAACAAAACTACATGAAAATTAAAGTCAGTCTTGCTCACACAAAAACAATCTATGGGTTACTTTAACAATGACATGTCCGATGAATCGTTTTTCTATAACTTATAGAAATAGAAAATTTAAGGGCGATCTTTGTCAGTAATTTCCGCTTCATTAAAATATGAAAGACCCCTTTTTTCGCGCCCAAAAAGCCTAAATAAGGTTTTCTTGCGGCCCTCGGGTCATTATATATGAACATCTTCGGGCCATTATCGCAACATGGCGAGCAGCAACCAAGTATTAACCTATAAACATACCTTGAACCTGTTTTTCTTTAAATTTAACCGTGAAAACTATTTTTATATCATTTTAATCTCATGTGGCCAAAGAAATAGATATTCCTGCTAATCTGATTATTATATGTTTCAGGCGTGTTTTACGGTAACCGTTTAATGTACCTTGGAGTGCAAGTAAACCTTACCCTCGGACGATTCTCGTCCGGCTATCCCGAGGGTAAACCGGTCATGGATAGATGGGAAACATTCGTTCAAAATGAGGTAATGACCTATCTATCAATGAACCTTACTCTTTGACCAAAGAAAGGTCTGAAGTTTTATAATATTTGATTAAAGGCCCATTATGCCCCAGAAATGTTTTCATTTTTATTTCTCAAAAGCTTTTCGTATCTGGTGTTCTTTTAAAGTTTACAATGTCATTCATTGGCCAATTGCACGAAGCATCTTTTTCTACTGTTTTGAAATTAGAACATACGTTTTTTGTATGGAAGTCAAAATAAGACTTTGTTTACACTTTGCTACTTGTATTACAAATAATTTCACATTTAGCACTATTTACTTCAGATGACAAGCATCTTGCTTGCTCTAAAACCAGTATTTAAATGTTATATAAATCATGCTTGTCCTTTCTCAATATTTTTTTTTAAATCTGAGGAACAATGTGCATCTAAAAACATGGATATTCTTATTTTTATGAATTTCATGATGAAAAATATCGTAAGGAGCAGTCGACAGGTCGGAGCCTAGAAAACCAGACTTTCTCTGACTCGCCGAAATCTGTCCTAAATATTGTAACGATGTGCTAGGAGCATTAGGAAACGCCAAGAGAGCCCATTTTTGTTATAATTAAACACTAAGTTAATAGATTTGTTTTTATATTAACAGGTAAATGCAATGCCTCCCGGAATGCAGAATGGATTTCAGCTTACCAAAGATTACTGGCATAATCTCTCTGTCCAAAAGGTATGACGTTAAGTTTTTCTTCCCGCCTATCATGCATAGACAGAAATAATATGCGGAATACAACACACTTTTAGCGTCTGTACACAGAATCTTAAAGGTCCATTATGCCCCAGAAATATTCTAATTTTTGTTTTTCTGAACTTTTATTATTTGGTATTCATTAATAGTTTCAAACAAGTTATTCATAAATACATTTATATAGCGATTTAATATTTTATATACAAAATACTACTATGTTTGCATTTTGCTACTTTTACGACATATTATTTTACATTTAGCCCTATTTTCTTCAGGTAACAAGCATCTAACATGCTTTAAAACCATTATGTAAACGTAATAAAACGTTTAAATGACCTTTCGAAAAAAAAATTTATTTATTTCTGAGACATATGTGCCTTTAACAAAATCTTAATTCTTATAGAGGTATTGTATTTATTTAAGTACATTGAATTTATTATACGATATAGACTTTCTTTTTTCTAGACGTTAGAAGACAGCGCTATTATAGGTGTGGTGGTTGGAATATTACTGGCGTTTCCAATCCTAACTCTTGCAACTCAAAACATTCTGATCGGGTTCTTTGCGACGCTCAGTATTTGTTGCAGCACAATTTGCGTGGTAGGGATCATACCATTGACAGGCAAACTAGGGGTAAGATAATACTTAGTAATTGTGCTGGTGTTTCTTTTTGTTTCTTTTCTGGAACATTATCATAGAAAGGAAAATCAAATATTGCCACTTATTTTAGACATCCATATGGGTGAAGAAAAGCATTTATATAATGAATTGTATGGTTTTTAGTCAAGAAAGTTTAAGTGAGCATTACAGAGAAATTACAGAAAAAGTCTAGTTTATCTTCTTTTTTTTAATTATTGTTGAAGAGATTCACTATTTTCATCAGTTACCTTTCAAATGATAATATATTGTTCCCTCTTGTTAAAATGACGGCTTAAACCGCTTAGAATTTAAAATAAAATTCATAATTGCGTCAGAATCTTAAATGGCACCTGTCTGCTATGACGTAACAACATAAACTATCAATATTATCTTGATTTAGGTACTTGAAGCTCTGAATATGTGCATGGTTGTTGGACTTACTGTTGACTACGTTGTTCATCTAGCGGAAGGATATCATATGTCAAAACGAGACGACCGGAAGTCACGTGTACAGGATATGCTAGAGATTATGGGAATATCGGTCTTTTCCGGTGCCTGTACCACACTTGGCGCGTCCGTGTTCATGTTTTTTGCTCAAATTCAGTTCATCATAAGATTCGGAATGTTTATGTTTAGCACGATCGGATTCTCTCTACTTTATTCGTTGGCATTTTTCACCACTATAATGGGAATTCTTGGTCCAAACGGTAACCAGGGTGATATTAAAGTAATTTGTAATCATGTTGCTAACAAATGTAGGAGACTTCATCGAAAGACATGAACAAATATCGGGTATGAATAACTAGAACATATGTTTGGAAAAACAAATCTATATTTTTTGAAAATTCTATTTTTACTTCATGTTATAGTGTGCTTTTTATATTTGTTTAACAATTTTTTTTTTGCCTCTTTTAAATATTGTATGCAACTTTGTTATGTGAGAAAACAACGCTGACTGTTCGGACAACAGCAACATGATTTCTGATCAAATATGAATTTCTCCACAGCTAAGGTAACTTACAATGCTGTTGTTTATAATATCAGTGCCATAAAGATACTTTTTCTGTGTAGTGCAATGAACAAAAATGAGCCTCAATTAAAATGTCTGAAAAATATAATACAGTTATATTATTTATCTGATTTCTATCCGTTTTCATGAATGGGAATATTCCCAATAGCTAGTCTGAATCAATGTTCTTTATATTACATGAATTTAATAAAGAATAAAATCATGCTTAAACAGCTTTTAAATAGTTAATCCACCCACAGAGTGACAATGGAAGGCGCTGCTGAAAAACCTTTTTTGCATGTATCACTAGGACTTTCTTTTCCAGTATTTTTGTTGACAAAAAAGTGCTCACTTTAATTAAAGTATTCGTGAAACGAATAACTTTCATCGTTCACTTTTTACAAATAACCTGAGAGCCAAAATTCGTTCTGCATCGCTAACCAGTTATATTTCTTATTGAGAGAAGCTATTTTCCCATTTCATCCTGGTTTATACAGAATTTATTTTAATTTGATTGTTCAGGAAGCTATTAGCTTATAAACGCAATTTCGAATCCGTTGCTGGAACCAACCAGTACTGAGCAATGAGTGAGGAAATAACGACTTGCCCCTGTCAGGGTTTGAACCCATGCGGCTAGCGATCATTAGATCAATAGTCCGAAGTGTTAACCACTCGGCCATGCCACCACCATTTAATCTTATCAACAGCTCATGTGTAACAATAATTGCGATATTTGACAAAGAAAATTAAAGGATGCCATGTTCGATGCTGAAAAATGTCGTCAACGTGTGATTCGAAAATCTTACGTCGTAAATATCCATTATTAAGTGATGCAGGGCCTCCGTGCCAGAGTGGTTATGGTCACTGACTTTGAACCGCTATGAGTTCAATTCCACTAACTTTACCAACTTGGTTCATCAAACTATTTATCAACGTATTCCAAAGAAGTCATTTGACTCTTATTATCTTTCTTTTTATCTCATTTTGGCGTTTCAAAAGATTTAAACTAAACAGTAACTGCTGGCCAACTGGAAAGGAAATGAAACAAGTCGACCGTAATTTTATCTAAAAGAAATACAACAATTTTTATTCTTCACGTTTTACTAAAAGTATTACTGCTTTATTAGGCTTAATTTATTTTTATCACCAGTAAGTAATTCAGATATAAGGTATTTTTTGGACTTGTTAAATGTTTAAGAAGTCATTTTGGGCAATTTTCTCACCTTTATTGGTGGAATAAGACCTTATAGGAGACTCTCCGTGCATTTTTTAAGTACTACATGTGTATACAAGCATTTATACTGCATATTAACAGTATAGGGTATATTAATTTGAGTAAATGTCCCTCATCAAAACTTCAAAGGGGATGGAGCAGATGTCTGCTCTTCGAAAACAGAGGAGGGGGCAAACCAGTAATAAAAACTTCAGTAATAAAAACTTATCAAGTCACCATTACTTACAGCAACAACCCTACAATTTTTCACATGGCGTATTTGGCTACTTTATAAATCGCGAGGTTATTTTTTTGTCCCAGATATTAATCTGATAATTGAAAATTTAAATTTATAAGAATAATTCATATTTGGGAAACTTCTAATTATGAGACGTCTTAAGCTCTGGGATGGGGAAATGTTAGTTATTTCCTTCAGATTTTTTAACATAAATATATTTAAACATAAATAAATATATTTGTAGTTTTATATTTTTTTAATAAAATATATATGTTACACTTCTGATTATTATATCATTAAAAAGTTCAACACACAAAATAATTCATAGATCAAATTATAAACAAAATGGCAGGCTTCTGAAATCAGGAAACCACCGGCAAAAAAGTGGACAGCAACAACTTTTGAGGTAAAATGTAAGAATTTTCATACAAGTTCGCTATTAAGCCAAAATAGTGTATTTTTTTTATTTAAGCATTAAATAGAGTAAATGAATGAGGCAGAGCATTGGTTACTGGACGAATTGAGTAAAAATAAACTAAGATAAAATAAGAACTGTTAACAGTAGAAAGAATCATGTTACATCTCGTTATGAACTGTTTGTATAAAGGAAATGACGTCACGTAAAAATAAATGTACGGTTTCAAGAAAAGGGAGTTCATTACCATCACTACAATGTACATAATATGAAGTTTGATCAAGGTTTCTTTATCAATTTCAATCCAGATTTTACATTGTACAAATCATGAAGTTTAACGTTTATTACTAATAACTATTTAACGTTCAATAATCTAATATCATAAATCTAATATCATATATTGTACGATAAAATCCACTTAAAAGTCAAACACTAATTATAAACTATTAACCAATTATCACAGCCTTTGTAAAACGTTAGATATTATTCGATATATAGGATTCATATATCAGCTACTTGCAGCTGTCGGATATTGTTTGCTTTATGATATACATGTATATCATAGACATATCAGTACAGTTTAGCATTCAGCTTCTCTGATCTCTTGGATATTATATAGTAAATATATCACATAACTTTAGCAGCAGCTACTGACAGCTCTGAAATAATATTATTATACATATATCTCATAAATCAAGAAGCAGCTTCTGACAGCTCCTTATTGATATACATATATCTAAAAGATTTATCAGCAGATCTTAGATAATATCTGTAGGTCATAAATAATACATATAACATAGCTACTGGCAGCTCCAATGTGATATATATCACATACATATATTATTAGTCTTTAGCAGCAGCTACCGGCAACTCTTGTATCTTTTTTTTTTACTTTGTGATATATATCAGTGACACATCTTCAAATGTTGGCAGCAGCTACTGGCAACACTGGTATGTCATAACTTTGTGATATATATCAGTGACACATCTTCAAATCTTAGCAACAGCTATTGGCAACACTGGTATGTCATAACTTTCTGATATATATCAGTGACACATCTTCAAAGCTTAGCAACAGCTACTGGCAACACTGGTATGTCATAACTTTCTGATATATATCAGTGACACATCTTCAAAGCTTAGCAACAGCTACTGGCAACACTGGTATGTCATAACGTTCTGATATATATCAGTGACACATCTTTAAAGCTTAGAAGCTGCAACTGGCAACTCTTCATGAAAAAAGTTCAGAATTCTTCTCCAAGAATCTTCTTGTGCCACAGCATGAGGTTCTGGTTGACCACCCCACCAGAAAAACATATCTGAAATATAAATATCCTTATAAAAGGAAAGCAGCTATTCTATAAATGTATATACCTTTAAAAAGCAATATGTTTTTTCTAATTATTATCTGTGTTGATTTTCTTGCGTATCAGACTGTATTTTGAAATGTTTTCAGCAGCTCTGGAAAATAAGGTCTTACACTCCTGTGTAAGAGGAGTCGCATACTTCATTCTTGCACCTTTTATGAATAAGTTGCATAGTTTTTATGACATGATTCTGTTGTAATGAAGTTCTAAATAAATATACAAGTTTGTTTGTTTGATTGATAGGGTTTTACGCCACACTGACATATTATTGACCATATGGCAATGTTGGAGGAAGACCTCAGGTGCCCTTCCCTGCAATATTTCACACACTTACGGGTACCCAAGTAGGACCACCGACGTTCCGTATGCTAGCTTGCTAGCTTCCTCGAAATGAAAAAAATCCTGGAATTCCCTGTCAGGTTTCGAACCCACAGTGGTGAGGGGCAAATGGTTTGAGGTCAATGACCTTAGTATAAAAGTGCTGAATAAAATATTAGTTTTAATTTGTTACTTTTTTTTGACAATTAAGTTAACTTATTATGTAAAATGCAAAAAAAAAAGATAATTAAACACTGTTTGTTGTCAGTCATCGCAGATGGAAATAACTGGCTATCAGGTAACCGTTTAGCCAAAATTCAAATCAAGCTAGACAGTATGGTCTGTTAAAGCAGGCAGTGTAAGATTCTTATACATGTAGTTCATAATGGCTAGATGGCATCAAAACCAGTGCCAAAATTTTGAAAGTTAGGTAAGAATTGAAATGAAATTCAATATAAAGGGTATTTTGTTTAGTTCAGTTTCATAAGATCAAAATTACTGTCATGGAATGAAATCATCAATGGCATAGCAACATAAGACAATGTAAAAGCTGATGTTAATAAAATGACAGATAATTTGATCTCATATGTAAAAGAACCAATAAACTAATTTTGTAATTAATTCATTTTCTTAATTCATTTTTTACTGAATTTTTCATTGTATTATCATTGCATTTTCTTCGTGGCAACAGCACTTATATTTTGGTTCAAAAAATAATTTAACATGATTTTCCGTTAATTTTACTATGAAGTGCTCAATAAAATATGGGCTTAGAATAATTACCATGCATTTACATAATAAACTCAGCAAATTACCGGTAAAACCAAAAATATATGTACTCTATATATTAGACTTCACTTTTACTTACCAAATGATTTATGATAAGACATGTCACAGAGCGGCGTGTAAGGCGGTTCCACGAGATGCCCCGCCCCTCGGTAAGATGCAACAATACAATTATCTGTCTTCTCTATAGGATATAAATCTTTCAACATTCGGATACATTCCTTCGGACTACACATGTCGTCTTCGCTTAATATATTCAATATCTTCACATCAGTTTTCCATACCTGTTGAAAAATGTGAAATGTTATTAAACCTTCAACTGCCGAATTTATGTAATGTATCCACCCTGCTTTGAATTTGAAACAGTCCATTAAAGGCACATTATGCTTCAGGAATTAATTAATTTCTACTTCTTTAGAAAGGGCAAAAATTAAAATTTATAACATTTAAAAAGTGGTTTTTGGGCATGTTAGATACTGAAAAGCATACTGATAAATATGAAATAGTTTGTAATATAAGTAGCAAAATGTATACACAGTAGTATTTTTACTTCAATCACTACAACTGTCTGTACTAATTGCCAAACAGCAACAGACAAAAAAAGATGGTTATTGAGCTTACACTTTGGAAACTATAGCAGAATACCAAACATTAAAAACTTTTGAGAAACAAGAGCCATGTCAACATGGCCATCCCCCGCCGAATGTGTTTGCTCATTGGAAGAATGTACAAGTAGTAGAGCAGAATAATTCCATTTTAGGAGGTCTTTTGGTAATGAAAACTGATGGCTATAGTGATTACAGATTTGAAACCTATGTGAATACTGATGGCTGAATATAACAAAGGGCAATTACTGAAAAATAATGCAGGGTAGGTTATCATTCTTGTGTGCTGCATCCCTCCTCAGTAAAATCTATCCACCTATGAAGTTTCAAGTTGATACCTCAAATACTTTTTGAGAAAAAAATTGAATTGAAAAATTAAGTATGAAAAATAACAAAGGGCAATAACTCAAAAATTATAAAAGGTAGAGTTATCATTCTTGTGCCCTGCACACCTCCTGAATTAGATCTATGCCCCTATGAAATTTCATAATGATATCTCAAAGGCCTTTTGAGTTATGCTCTGGACAAAAATTAATTTTGAAAAATAAAAAAAGGGCAATAACTAAACATTTATGCAGGGTAGAGTTATCGTTCTTGTGCACTGCACTCCTCCTTAATGAGATCCATCCACCTATGAAGTTTCAAGTTGATACCTCAAATACTTTTTGAGATAAACTCTGGACAAAATAGTATGAAAAAGAACAAAGGGCAATAACTCAAAAATTGTACAGGGAAGAGTTATCATTCTTGTGCACAGCATTCCTCCTCAATAAAATCTATCCACCTATGACATTTCATGTAGACATCTCAAACACTTTTGAGTTATGCTCCACTCGGGTGAAAAATTAGGTATGAAAAATAACAAAGGGCAATAACTCAAAAATTATGAAAGGTAGAGTTATCATTCTTGTGCACTGCACACCCCCTGAGTGAGATCTATGCACCTATAAAGTTTCATTTTGATATCTCAAAGGCTTTTAGAGTTATGCTCTGGACAAAAATTAATTTTGAAAAATAACAAAGGGCAATAACTCAAAAATTATGCAGGGTAGAGTTATCGTTCTTGTGCACTGCACTCCTCCTTAATGAGATCCATCCACCTATGAAGTTTCAAGTTGATACCTCAAATACTTTTTGTGATAAACTCTGGACAAAATAGTATGAAAAAGAACAAAGGGCAATAACTCAAAAATTGTATAGGGAAGAGTTATCATTCTTGCACACAACATTCCTCCTCCATAAGATCTATCCACCTATGACATTTCATGTTGATATCTCAAACACTTTTTGAGTTATGCTTCACTCAGGTGAAAAATTAAGTAAAAAAAATAACAAAGGGCAATAACTCAAAAATTATGAAAGGTAGAGTTATCATTCTTGTGCACTGCATACCTCCTGAGTGAGATCTATGCACCTATGAAGTTTCATGTTGATATCTCATAGGCTTTTGGAGTTATGCTCTGGACAAAAATCAATTTTGAAAAATAACAAAGGGCAATAACTCAAAAATTATGCAGGGTAGAGTTATCATTCTTGTGCACTGCACTCCTCCTCAATGAGGTCTATCCACCTATGAAGTTTCAAGTTGATAACTCAAATACTTTTAGAGATATGCTCCGGACAAAAATGTCGGACAGAAGGACGGAAGGTCGGACAGACGGACGGACGGAGACTATTTCTATATCCCCCGCCGAACTTTTTTCGGCGGGGGATAATAAAGATAAAAGCATTTCTGAGGCATAATGGGCCTTTAAAAGTTTAGCGGATTTCAATATCAAAACAAGAAAATTGAGCTATTAACAGTTAAAAGGGTCTGTTCAGACTGCAAAGAAGTGAAGACTCTCCTTGCTTTATACTAATAGCATTTTCAGTTCCAGCAGAATAAGAATTAAGATTATTCCTTACAAAAAGGTAAACACTCCAGTGAAAATGGATAAAAAATCTCTTTGATTAACACATCTCACTCCAGTGAAAATGGATAATAATATAAATTTTTTTTATTAACACATCTCTAGAACTTGTTGAACGAAATAAAATTATCAATTTTATTATAATTAAAATATTAAATGATTTAAATACAATTTTCCAATTTTCCAATAAGCTATTCTACGGTCAAACTGAAAGCTCCTCCATTGCTTTCGAAATGATTTTTCCATTAAACACATACCTAAAACTTGATGTTAATTGAAATGTAAACATTAACTTTATATAATTAGTTTTCATAATGTTTAAGGTCAGTAGTTCTCCTTAACTGTTTCTGAAATGTTTATTTGCAATTTTTCAACTGTTTCAATAGCTGTAAAGTAAAGTATATGCAAGAAACAATAAACTATTAACTGTTGCAAAGATATACTAGGTCATATAATTTCTTCATATACAACATGAAACAAATGTTGGCATCTTTTAACTATTATGTTTAAACTCTTTTTTTGGTTGGGTTTAATGTGGTATCAACACAGTATAGGTCATATAGCATCTTTCAAGCTTCACTGGTGCAGGAAGACATCAGGTGCCCTTCTGTGCATTACATAACGCGCGAACAGGCACACAAGTAGAACCACCAACGTTCTGTAAGCTAGCTGGATAGCTTTCTCACAAGAAAGAATTCAAATACACTTGGTTGGCTCGAACTTACAGTGGTGAGAGGCAAGTAGTTTTAAGTTTATGACCTTAACCACTTGGCCACAGACACCCCATTATATTTTAACATTTTCACATTTTTTGTAAAAACTTATAACTTTATATATATACTTACTTGAAAAATATCTGAAGGTACATAATCCAATGCTTTATGCATAGCATATTTACCATCTATATTAAGAATTTTGTCAAATAAAAGCCTGAAAAAAAAAAAATAGTATTAATTCGCTTAAAGCAGCATGCCTCCAGATTTATGCTGCTTTTAATGAAAATTGTTTATATGTATTAACAAGAGCTGTCGGTAGGACAGCAACGCTCGACTATTCTTAGTGCTTGATAGTAAAAAAAATGCTTGATAGAGTTACCTCCTCCTGTTTACAGGTTGGGGTCATGATGGTGAACAAGTGTGCAAAGTTTCAAAGCCATATGTCAATGGACTTTGAAAATATTTGAACTATTACAAAAACTTTAACGTAAATTCTAAGTCGAAAAAGGGGCATAATTCTGTCAAAATGCTTGATAGAGTTACCTCCTCCTGTTTACAGGTTGGGGTCATGATGGTGAACAAGTGTGCAAAGTTTCAAAGCCATATGTCAATGGACTTTGAAAATATTTGAACTATTACAAAAACTTTAACGTAAATTCTAAGTCGAAAAAAGGGGCATAATTCTGTCAAAATGCTTGATAGAGTTACCTCCTCCTGTTTACAGGTTGGGGTCATGATGGTAGACAAGTGTGCAAAGTTTCAAAGCCATATGTCAATGGACTTTGAAAATATTTGAACTATTACAAAAACTTTAACGTAAATTCTAAGTCGAAAAAGGGGCATAATTCTGTCAAAATGCTTGATAGAGTTACCTCCTCCTGTTTCCAGGTTGGGGTCATGATGGTGAACAAGTGTGTAAAGTTTCAAAGCCATATGTCAATGGACTTTGAAAATATTTGAACTATTACAAAAACTTTAACGTAAATTCTAAGTCGAAAAAGGGGCATAATTCTGTCAAAATGCTTAATAGAGTTACCTCCTCCTGTTTACAGGTTGGGGTCATGATGGTGAACAAGTGTGCAAAGTTTCAAAGCCATATGTCAATGGACTTTGAAAATATTTGAACTATTACAAAAACTTTAACGTAAATTCTAAGTTGAAAAAGGGGCATAATTCTGTCAAAATGCTTGATAGAGTTACCTCCTCCTGTTTCCAGGTTGGGGTCATGATGGTGAACAAGTGTGTAAAGTTTCAAAGCCATATGTCAATGGACTTTGAAAATATTTGAACTATTACAAAAACTTTAACGTAAATTCTAAGTCGAAAAAGGGGCATAATTCTGTCAAAATGCTTAATAGAGTTACCTCCTCCTGTTTACAGGTTGGGGTCATGATGGTGAACAAGTGTGCAAAGTTTCAAAGCCATATGTCAATGGACTTTGAAAATATTTGAACTATTACAAAAACTTTAACGTAAATTCTAAGTCGAAAAAAGGGGCATAATTCTGTCAAAATGCTTGATAGAGTTACCTCCTCCTGTTTCCAGGTTGGGGTCATGATGGTGAACAAGTGTGTAAAGTTTCAAAGCCATATGTCAATGGACTTTGAAAATATTTGAACTATTACAAAAACTTTAACGTAAATTCTAAGTCGAAAAAGGGGCATAATTCTGTCAAAATGCTTGATAGAGTTACCTCCTCTTGTCTACAGGTTGGGGTCATGATGGTGAACAAGTGTGCAAAGTTTCAAAGCCATATGTCTATGGACTTTGAAAATATTTGAACTATTACAAAAACTTTAACATAAGTGGTTACGCCGACGCCGATGCTCGGGTGACTGCAATAGCTCTACTTATTCTTATCGAATAGTCGAGCTAAAAAGTAAAATAAGTGAACAAGGAAGGCAATTTACAAATTGCAAATGACACTTAAGAAGTTAAAGACTATAAACAAAATCTTAACTAACACCAATGCCCATTACAACAAAGTGGGTAATGACAATAGCTCAGTTTACTTTTGGCTTTTTTTTTTTAAATTGGAGCAAAAAAATGTATAAACATTATGTTGTTTTTTTTACAAGTCTGCATTCAGAGCTTTTTTTGAAAGTTGTATATGGTATTCTCTGTGGTCAATTAATACAGCCTTCAGCTTACACTCTTAAAATTAATTAACAAAATATATATAAATATCATAAAAGAATTTAGGAAACAACTAACGGTACTTCTGGTATATCGCCACCACTGTACTTCATCGGTGCTGTTGCATTAAATGTACAACCATTAATGTTCACTACTGCACGTACCTGGAATCAAAATTGCACAGAAGGAATTCAATGTATTGCATTAACAATAAAGCTTATAACAAATGACTGCTTGCATTTGAGACATTTCTTTAAAGCAACCTTTTAATTAAATACTCCTTTCATTGTAATCTTGCACACAAAATTAGTCTGAATGTGGTGAACACATATGCCAAATATTCAGACGATCCATCTAATAAATGATTAAGTTCTATGCCAGACAATGACCTTGGACCTTTAAGAACAACCTTGACCTTGAGGGTTCAGATGTGGGTCTTACAGGTGACACATTGTCTACTTATGGTGATCTTGTGTATTGATTTTTTGTTTTTTAAATCCCATTAATTTATACATGCAGAAGATAAGGACCAGACAAAAAACTACAATTGCACTTTACACTACATGCTGTATAGGTCAAAATGCTAAGTTCAATCTATTGCTGTGACCTTGACCTTTGAGCTAGTGACATTGTCACCTTCTGGTGACCTTGTGTACCAATTTATTTGAAAGTAAAATTTATGGAACGGACTCAAAGTATACTATTTTGTGAACACACACATACAAACAATGTTATGGCTAGGGGCATGAAAAGGGGCATTATTTTTTAAAAACCCATAAAAGTTATGTACTCTGGCCTACAATTGAATGTAATAGTCGTTTTGTTTAAAGACTGAAACCAACATATTGATGGCTTCAGTGACAGGCTTTGTATCCAAAACATGACAAAGAGATGACTTTATTTTGGATTCAAATGTTATTGTTAGGATATATCTGCATTCAAATTATAGTGTAAAATAATAAACTATAATAGATTCAAAACAATATAAACAAGAACTGTCGGAGGACAGTAACGCTCGACTATTCGAAAATTTGTCACAAGGGTGTTTCATTGAGTATAATAATGCTTACCTATATGAATACATAAAATTGTCCGAAAAGGTACAAACTCTTCAAGTTTCAATACATTCCCTTCAGTAGTTATGGAGATACAAGCTTACATGCAAAAACTTAACCAAGAATTCATGAGTCGAAAAAGGGGCATAATTATGCAAAAAAGCAAATCAGAGTAATGGGACTTGTACCAATCATCTTAGATAATCACAGAGACCAAGTGTGTGAAGTTTCAATCCATTCCCTCTAGTAGTAATGGAGATACCAGCTTACACGCAAAAACTTAACCAAGAATTTCTAAGTCGAAAAAGGGGCATAATTATGTTAAAAAGCAAATTAGAGTTATGGGACTTGTGCCAATCATCTTAGATAATCACAGAGAACAAGTGTGTGAAGTTTCATTCAATTCCCTTCAGTAGTTATGGAGATACCAGCTTACATGCAAAAACTTAACCAAGAATTTCTAAGTCGAAAAAGGGGCATAATTATGTAAAAAAGCTAATCAGAGTTATGGGACTTGGGCTAATTATCTTAGATAATCACAGAGAACAAGTGTTTGAAGTTTCAATCCATTCCCTTCAGTAGTTATGGAGATACCAGCTTACACGCAAAAACTTAACCAAGAATTTCTAAGTCGAAAAAGGGGCACAATTATGTAAAAAAGCAAATCAGAGTTATGGGACTTGTGCTAATCATCTTATATAATCACAGAGAACAAGTGTGTGAAGTTTCAATCAATTCCCTTCAGTAGTTATGGAGATACCAGCTTACATACAAAAACTTAACCAAGAATTTCTAAGTCGAAAAAGGGGCATAATTATGAAAAAAAGCAAACCAGAGTTATGGGACTTGTGCCAATCATCTTAGATAATCACAGAGAACAAGTGTGTGAAGTTTCAATCCATTCCCTTCAGTAGTTAAGGAGATACCAGCTTACATACAAAAACTTAACCAAGAATTTCTAAGTTGAAAAAGGGGCATAATTATGAAAAAAAGCAAATCAGAGTTATGGGACTTGTGCCAATCATCTTAGATAATCACAGAGAACAAGTGTGTGAAGTTTCAATCCATTCCCTTCAGTAGTTAAGGAGATACCAGCTTACATGCAAAAACTTAACCAAGAATTTCTAAGTCGAAAAAGGGGCATAATTATGAAAAAAAGCAAATCAGAGTTATGGGACTTGTGCCAATCATCTTAGATAATCACAGAGAACAAGTGTGTGAAGTTTCAATCCATTCCCTTCAGTAGTTAAGGAGATACCAGCTTACATACAAAAACTTAACCAAGAATTTCTAAGTTGAAAAAGGGGCATAATTATGAAAAAAAGCAAATCAGAGTTATGGGACTTGTGCCAATCATCTTAGATAATCACAGAGAACAAGTGTGTGAAGTTTCAATCCATTCCCTTCAGTAGTTATAGAGATACCAGCTTACATACAAAAACTTAACCACAGGGACGCCGACGCCGACAAATGGGTGACTGCATTAGCTCGATTATTCTGCGAATAGTCGAGCTAAAAATGGAAAGTTTCAAGTTCAGGTTGAGTTATTACCTTTTTACTGTACCTCGCCATCATGAGTGATATATCCCCACCTTTAGATGTCCCAATCACACCTAAACCACTTGATATAATGTTGTCACGTGATAACAACCAATCAATAGCTTCCTGCAATAAATTCACACAAATCTGTGAAACACTTTCAAGATATTGTTTTTTGTTTTTATTTTTTGTTTATATTTTCCCAGTATTTCATTTTTAAAAATCTATACGGCAATGGGGATTTTAGCTGCTTTTTCAACACCCCCCTCAACACCCTAAAGATTTTGAATTTACATGGTGGACTAGATTTATAATTTCAGTTGCAAAATATTTTCCTCAGCTGCATTGGAAATAATTCACATGTGTTTTACAGCAATAACAACCTTTGATTGAGATATTTTACATAGCACTGGAAAATGTATATAAATTACTATTTATGAACAAAAACTTATCAAAAACTAAAGGTTAATCAACACTGATGCCAACACCAACGAATGGGTCATGACAATACCTTTACTTTTTTTCTTCCGAATGTGGACAATGTTGCATGTTAAGGGTTAAACGAAAAAACAATCTTTACCATCAATTCTCAAACATTTTGTTTTATTGATAACTCTTGCCATGAATTAGGAACTATTCATTGCTTACTTTGGGGGTTTTATACATAAATAACCAATCAATGGTAAAGGTTTTTGTTTGAATATACAAATGTGCATGTAAGGGCTAGTTCGACAAATTGGGTGGTCTACAATTTAACATAATTACAATATACTATTCCCTGGAAGTCTGAAATGTCAAAGTAATTTTTTCGCTACAAAAATAGTTTATGGTAAAATAAAACATGTAATGACAGTGGACAGCAACTGCATAGGTAATCTTGAATAATGTAGCTGTTATGAACCTATCGAAATAAATTACAAGCATCAGTTGTGAAAGATTAATGATAAAAAGCAGAACTCATGCACAAGACTCAAAATTACCAAACCTAATGTCCTTTGTTTCAAAAGATTTTAATAAGTAATGGTGGTGTTTGGTAGTGATCACTCCAGATCATGTTAGTAAGCCACATTGAATTCACCAGAGCACAGTCCAACCAACACATGGTTACTGGGCATGCAGTCAAGCAGTTTACCAGTACTAGTTGCTTTCACTTTCACAAGGAACTGAAACTTCTGTACATACCAGAGCAGAGGTACAGTGCGAATGACTCTAGAAAGATTTCATGATCAATCACAATGAAAGTGACCTGCGCCTTCCGGGAATTGAACCCGGGTCGCCTGACTCACAGAAAAAGTTCATAAATGAGAAGTAAAAAAGAAAAAGCATACCAGAAAATAATCTAAGTTGAGATCAAATAAACTTTTTGGCAAGTCTTTATACAAAAAGTATGGCAAAGCTAAAGATGCGAACCCCCTGGAAGCAAGCAGGGCCGACCTGTAATCTGTTATTCCACCTACTGTCCCAAACAGGTCTATCACTGCAGGAAATGGCCCATCACCTGATAAAATACATATATAATAATTTATATTTTTGTTTTTTGCTTTTTATTATGATATTGAAATAATATTGGTAAAATATAAATCATATCACACTGTTTGTAACTGAAATAGTTTTTATATTAAAATATAGTGTTGTACTTTATGTAACATATCCTATTCTTATTAGTAATATCGTGGGGCTAAGGACTAAACTGGCATGGAGGAACTTTACATATCATTTCTTAATCTTTATAGTATTTTTTGCCCTTTACACAGAAAAATACCACTTGACGACATTATGAACAAACAAAACATCATTACTTTATTTGTGTTATATGATAATAATAATAAATTAAGATTCAATAAAACTTAAAATAAGAGTTTAAATTTTAACACATTTTTCTTGAATCTAATGTTATTTAAGAAAAATAAAATTTATCTACTTTTGTTGTTTTTATTGCTGAATAGGTAAATCAGCACTACAAATAAGTGACTTTTTTGGATCCCCATGGCCTAAGTGCCAAAAATCCGAGAAACAGGGATATTTATTTGAAAGATCATTTGAGCCGAAACATGACAAAACCAACATAATGGGTTTGCGACCAGCATGGATCTAGACTAGCCTGCGTCTCCGCAGTCTGATCAGGATCAATGCTGTTTGCTTACAAACCCTGTAACAAGTAGAGAAAGTAATAGCGAACAGCATGGATCCTGATCAGACTGCGCGGATGCACAGGCTGGTCTGAATCCATGCTGATTGCAAACCCATTATGTTGGATTTATCATGGTGTGGCTCATTTAATAATACGGGATCTTAAAGAGACTCCACTGACGTTTTTTTTACATGAAGGGATTGGAAATCTTTTTCCAAAACTTGTGTGCCATTTGATGTAGCTCTGATCAATAACCTGTGTGTTAATTAACAAATCATTCCCTAAACCCATCTTCCTATAAGTCCTTTTATTTTTTTAATTTTAAGTGCATCTGTTGCTCTATTTAAGAGATTCAATTTTATGTTTTAAGGTTGTTTGACCTTAGTGGAGGTCCATGAAGTGTACAAGTAGCAGTCACCTCTAACATTTCTTGTTCATCTGTCTTTTAGTGCATTTAACAGAAAAAACTAGAAATGTGTCCATAGGACACGGGTGCCCCCACCGCGCCACTGTTCTGTCAATCTTTTTACTAAGTCAAGGGAAATAACTCTACAAATACTGGATAAATCCACAAGCGAAACCCAAGGTGCAAATCTAAATATGCTGAGCAACCTGCCCATAAGGTTTAATTAATGACTATGTCAAATCCTTTTTGAGTAACTTGCGACACAAGTTGAAAATTGCAAAAAAAAAAGTGAAGGGCAATAACTCTAACAATACTAAATAAATCCAGACGAAAATATCTGATGCACAACTGCACATGCTGATCAACATTCCTGTAAAGTTTCATGACTCTAGGTCAAATACTTTTTGAGTTACATGCGACACAAGTTGAAAATTGCAAAATTTTACTAAGTCAAGGGCAATAACTCTGAAAATACTAAAAATATCCAGACGAAAATACCCTGGTGCACAACTACACATGCTGATCAACATTCCTGTAAAGTTTCATGACTCTAGGTCAAATACTTTTTGAGTTATATGTGACACAAGTTGAAAATTGCAAAATTTTACTAAGTCAAGGGCAATAACTCTGAAAATACTAAAAATATCCAGACGAAAATACCCAGGTGCACAACTACACATGCTGATCAACATTCCTGTAAAGTTTCATGACTCTATGTCAATTACTTTTTGAGTTACGCGCGACACAAAAGTGAACGGACGGACGGAAGGACGGACAGAAGGACGGACGGACAGACGGACAGACAGACGGACAAGGGTAAATCTAAATGCCCGCCACTAATGTGGGGGCACAAATATACTAATAAGATGACCTGTCAAGTGGTTAAACAAGATGGAACACTCAAATTTGTCAGGGGAGAGTAAATTGTGTGACAAATGGTGGCTTGTGAGAGTAATTTCCCTTATATGGATTGTCAAAATTAGTTTTCTTTACTTATTTTTGACTCATGGCATGCCTATTAAAATTGGAAATTTTAGCAAACCTACTAGGTGTATTACAACATTCACATTTTTCCAAATGGTGACAACATAATAATATGTAAATGGTAGGGTTTTTTTATATGAGAAGCCTAAAAACTTGGTTATTTGCTAAATGTGCAAAATTTTTGGAATTTTCAAGATTCTGTTGCTTTGGGGTTTTTTAGTTGGGATTTACATGACACACATACTCTTGAGGTCATATGTTCACATTCCAGCTTGACTGGTGAAGGTAGAGTTCAAGACTGGTACCCTTCTATGCATTATTTCAGTCAGGAATGGGCACCTGAGTAGAAGCATCAATGTTCCATAAACTAGCTGAAAGAATCTCAAGTCTCTGGCAGGATTCAAACCCACAGTGGTGAGGGTCAGGTGGTTTTAAGTCATTAAGCTTAGCCACTCGGCCTTGAACGTTCTGGCCCCTTTTATGATTATCATGATATATGAAAGATGTGACTACTAGTCATGAACTCATTATATAATAATTTTAAAATGCTAACATCAAACTAACCTGGAGGTAAATATAGTTTCCCTCTGACATTTCCATCTGTCACTTCATAGTTTGTTACACCTGGAGATTTGTACCATCTCTCTATAGTAGTTTTACAAAGTTCTGCAGGGGTCTTCTCTCTTATATCTTCCAAGGAAAAGTGCCCATCATAAACTATGACTTGTGTGATAAAAGGTGTGTCTAAGTTCTTTTTCATAAGCCTAATACCTTCAAGCTGCCCAGGACAGGGTACCAAACTCCAAAACAACCCCATAGCAGAAACACCTGAAATATGAAAGATTTACATGTAATATGCATGTAATTTATTGTCATTGTATAGCACAAACATAGTTTCAAAACAAAATTCATGTACTGTTATTGCCTGAAAAAGAAAATGTGCAGAAAATGAAAAGTTCTATTGTGTTGGAAGCTAGAAGCTTATTGAACCACTAGGTCTTTTAAATTTAATGGCAAAAGTCTTTCCATATAGTTTAGTGATCCCACAAGATCATTATTTTTTCATTTCTCTTTAATCTACCAAGTGCTCAAGCTAAGAAATGTTTAAACAAAGTAAAATGTTTGTTTCCTACACTTCTTAAAAGACATTATACATGTATACTAACTGTAATGTTCAAATAACTCGTATTGAACAATATAAAATATCATTTAGTCTATCATTCTTTACTGACTGTGCTGGCTTCCGAGACATTTGTGTAAAATTGTGGTACATTAACACTATAATCAAGGATGAGAAATGCTGGCTTAAAGGTAATGTGTTACTTTATGCATCTATTGCTGTAGAATCAAAAGTTTGTGGTGGGATTTAAACCCACAGCTGTAGCTGTGACGTTTAAGTATTACCCAAGTTTTTATCTGAGGCAAGAGATGTGCTTAATGACACAACTGATTTGGTCAAGGGGTCTTGGAGGATATTTTTAACAGCATTTTCACCGATGATATGGATCATCAATCTGCAAATAATGATAACCCAGAGAACTACCAAGTCAGGGAACCACTGCCTTTTCAAGGAGTTATCTAGGTAAAGGTATAGGATTAGCACTAGAAAGACATTAATTTTCAACTAAATTACCCGTGTATGTTCCTGAGACTGATGCCTGTTTTCCCAAGTTGACTATGCCTTGTTTATCTGCTGTGAAACAACCACATGACTCAAATGTCTTCTTTTCCTCTTCTAAATATGCATAGACAGTCACTTTCTGGCTGGTGTCAAGTTTATCAATTTTTATTTCTAGTCTGTCATCAACTAAAAGATGTCCATTCGGTTTGAATGCTATTTCTGGAGCCATCTCTCTAGTAAATGTTGAACAAGATTGACTACTACATGTCCATTCAGGTTTACAAATGTGTTGTGATTTTATATTATTTACAGGTTGAAGCTCTCTCGACATTTTTCTTTCAAAATGGCGCACGGCTGAGGTCAAAGTTCTTGAACAACTCTGTTGTAACAAATTTGCTGAGAAATGTTTTAACAGACCTGAAAGTGGAAGTGAAAGAAAAGCCATGATTCAGAACTGTTCAATATTTAAAGGTAGATGTGTAAGCAGCCGGATAGCTCAGTCAGTAAAACCATGAAATGGTATTTTGAGGGTCCCAGACAGGAGTCGCTGTCAGGCTGCACATTTTTCTCACCATGTGACATTTGCTTGGAATTTAATTCACAATGACCTTATAAACGAAATCACTTTACTCTTATCTTGCAAAACTATACATACAATGTGCATGTGTTACTTCTGATCACTGAAACTTTCTTGGGAGCCAATATATTGAAACTTGAACCTTTTTTTTTTTAAATTTTGCAATAACAAAAGTAGACTTGTTTATAATGCGTACTGTGTTTTTAAAAAGAAATATACAGGTAGCTTTTAAAGGTCTTCAGTGTACCCTTTCATATACTGTGAAATGACATTTAAACGCTGCATCAGATGAAAAACTTAAATTTTAAAAAGCAACTTATAATTTTTTTGAAGCCAGAACTAAGTGTTTTTCTCAGTGGAAACAACACCTACACTTGCTGAATTTTTGTTTGAATTTGGAAAAGTCCATTCAAAGTTAAAGTGATTTCAGTATCAAAATATAAACATTTAATTACAAAATGTACCAACAGTATATACAGCTAGGTCAGAAATCATGACTGTGCACTAGCAGGCCTGGCTCTATACTGGTGTCAAAGGCTAATCACTTTTAGTACGAGCAAGTGATGGGATAATACCTTGAATCGGGGTCAGCTACATTGTTGGCCATATAACAACTTTTTGTAATTTGTTCTGTGAGTGACTAAGTGAACCCCAAAGCAAAAAAATTTAAAAACAAGAGCCATGTCAACATGGCCATCCCCCGCCGAATGTGTTTGCTCATTGGAAGAATGTATATGTAGTAGAGCGGAATAATTCCATTTTAAGAGGTCTTTTGGTAATGAAAACTGATGGCTATAGTGATTACAGATTTGAAACCTATGTGAATACTGATGGCTGAAAATAACAAAGGGCAATTACTGAAAAATAATGCAGGGTAGGTTATCATTCTTGTGTGCTGCATCCCTCCTCAGTAAAATCTATCCACCTATGAAGTTTCAAGTTGATACCTCAAATACTTTTCGAGAAAAAAATTGAATTGAAAAATTAAGTATGAAAAAGAACAAAGGGCAATAACTCAAAAATTATAAAAGGTAGAGTTATCATTCTTGTGCAGTGCACACCTCCTGAGTGACATCTATGCACCTATGAAGTTTCATTTTGATATCTCAAAGGCTTTTTGAGTTATGCTCTGGACAAAAATTAACTTGAAAAATAACAAAGGGCAATAACTCAAAATTGTATCATAGTTTGGAGACCTTTCTGTTGAAAATGTGTCAGGGTTAAATCGTATACACATACATGCACAGTGCGTTAACTGGAGTGCGGGTATTAGTTACCCAAACTCTAGAGCATGCCCATTGATTGGCTCATTTTTGCTGGGGTTTACATATTGTGACGACAGAGAAAGGGAAAGCGACAGAAATGTCATATCCAGATGTTCGTTCATTGGTTCATTTTTGCCGGGGTTTCATATTGTGATACAGGGAACGTGCTTTTATGTTTGACTATGATACAAAAGAGAAAGAACACCAAAACACTCGGCAATCTGAATTATACTCGGGGGCTACGCCCCCTCGTACAAATCAGATAGCCTCGTGTTTCGGTGCTCTTTCTATTACATAATGCAGGGTAGAGTTATCATTCTTAAGCACTGCACTCCTCCTCAATGAGATCCATCCACATTTGAAGTTTCAAGTTGATACCTCAAATACTTTTTGAGATAAGCTCTGGACAAAATAGCATGAAAAAAAAGGGCAATAACTCAAAAATTGTATAGGGAAGAGTTATCATTCTTGCGCACATCATTCCTCCTCAATAAGATCTATCCACCTATGACATTTCATGTTGATATCTCAAATACTTTTTGAGTTATGCTCCACTCAGGTGAAAAATTAGGTATGAAAAATAACAAAGGGCAATAACTCAAAAATTATGAAAGGTAGAGTTATCATTCTTGTGCACTGCACACCTCCTGAGTGAGATCTATGCACCTATGAAGTTTCATGTTAATATCTCATAGGCTTTTGGAGTTATGCTCTGGACAAAAATTAATTTTGAAAAATAACAAAGGGCAATAACTCAAAAATAATGCAGGGCAGACTTATCATTCTTAAACATTGCACTCCTCCTCAATGAGATCCATCCACATTTGAAGTTTCAAGTTGATAACTCAAATACTTTTTGAGATAAGCTCTGGACAAAATAGCATGAAAAAAAAGGGCAATAACTCAAAAATTGTATAGGGAATAGTTATCATTCTTGCGCACATCATTCCTCCTCAATAAGATCTATCCACCTATGACATTTCATGTTGATATCTCAAAACACTTTTTGAGTTATGCTCCACTCAGGTGAAAAATTAGGTATGAAAAAATAACAAAGGGCAATAACTCAAAAATTATGAAAGGTAGAGTTATCATTCTTGTGCACTGCACACCTCCTGAGTGAGATCTATGCACCTATGAAGTTCATGTTAATATCTCATAGGCTTTTGGAGTTATGCTCTGGACAAAAATCAATTTTGAAAAATAACAAAGGGCAATAACTCAAAAATCATGCAAGGTAGAGTTATCATTCTTGTGCACTGCACTCCTCCTCAATGAGGTCTATCCACCTATGAAGTTTCAAGTTGATAACTCAAATACTTTTAGAGATATGCTCCGGACAAAAATGTCGGACGGAAGGACGGACGGACGGAAGGAGGGAAGGTCGGACGGACGGACGGAGACTATTTCTATATCCTCCGCCGAAATTTTTCGGAGGGGGATAATAAACTTGCGATATCCTATTCACCGAGTAATGAATCCTCAAAAAATAATTACTTTGTCCTGATTTGACCCATTTAACAGAATGTTTTTCTTTCAAACTGTCAAACTGTTGGAAAAGACATCCCCTGTCCAAATTATCTCAATGTCTTATTGACAAGTCTAATTAGTTGGCTTACCTGCAATAAAATGTCACATTGATATTTCATCAACTTTATATGAAATAAAGTCTCTAGTTAAACAACTGTTAAAATACCTAAAATATCTTCCTTCACGTCTCATTACTTGGATTAGCAGGTCACTTCCAATAATAGTACATTTACGAAGTGATACAATGATTCGTGACCATACATACATGTAACCTTTGAACCCCGTCCATTCGATTTATCCAAAATTTAAATATCCGAATATATGTGCAGTACATGAAAAAGCAATACAGAGCTTCTTTGTATTGACAAGTATATTCAAACACAACTTTGATATCTCCTTTATACAATAATATTTACATAATAATAATGTTCAAGTTACTCACAAGAATTTACAAAACAAAATGATTTGGACATAACTATTCGACCCCGACTTGCTGAAGGTATTGGTAGCACACCACAGTAATGTAAGCCACAGCTTCGAATGGCCAGGGAGGATTTCTTGGATATAGTGAATATTTCTGGATTTAAATGACTGGTTGTCTTTAAAATGCATTTTCAGCATAAAATTTTTTTTGTGACATCTAATATGATCACTGGCAAATTCGAAAACATGGCCAGAAATCACATGCTGTTGATTATGAATGTCAAGGCCGCCATTTTTTGTAAACATTGCTTTT